TGTAGTGTGCGTAGTAGGGGTTTTGTGTGGTCTGGAAACTGGTTAAAATGGGCAGAGGACGTTGAAAGTTCTCTTTTATCTTTCTGTCACGCAAGGTTTTGTGCACCCGTTGAAAAAAAAGGCCATGGCTCGATAGGAAGCCACAGGAAGCGTAGGATGACCGTTAAGCGGAATGGTGGCTGATATCAGTGCTATTTGTTGAAAGTCTATCGGAAGATCCAAGAGCATTGATGTAACAAGAGGTGGTATCTAGACATGGTTAAACAAGAACAAAAACAAAAACAAAAACAAAAAAAGAACTCGACATCCAAGATCAGTATGTAATGGCAGCCATCCTCCTCAGCCACTCTCCGGCCTTCTCCCCCTCGATAAGGTTCTCAAAGATCCACCTCCCAACGTCCTCCCTACTGATGGTGTAGCCTACCGCCGTGCTCTCCACCAGTCCCTTGACTGGGTCCTCCTTGCCAGCCCTGATCTCCCGCTTGGAACCATCCTTGGCTCCATCGACGAACAAGCTTGGCCTCACAACAGTCCAGTCCTCCTCGCTGCCGAGCAGGACATTTTCCATGGCCTTTTTGTCCTTGTGGGGAACCTTGAGAGCAACATGATACAATGGGACAAATAGCAAGGGAACGTCTCGCCCAAAATCGGAGACACCGGTCGAGCTGAGGGCCACAATTCGCGGCCTGCCCTGCAGTTTGTGTTCCGCTCTGGCCTTTTGCAAGGCGGCCAACACCGTCTTGATGCCATTCTCGCAAACGCGAGCGTCGTCCATGCCCATTTTGGAGAGGTTGAAGTAGGCCCCGATGGAGAAGACAATCACATCGGGCAGGGTCTTCTGAGGCGAGGACGGTGGTGGGAGTAAGGCGCGGAGGACGGCATCCACGTCATGGGCATTGCCCTGCTCGATACGCAGCAGCTTCTCGTCGGCGTCGGCGGGGAAACGTGAGGAGAGGGTGGAGGGTGTGCGACAGAGAGCTGTGCAGGAGTGACCGGCAGCGAGGGATCGTTGGAGGGTAGAGAAGCCTACGCCTCCTGTCGCGCCGAGGAAGAGGATAGTTTTGGGCATTGCGAGGTGTAGCTATTGCGTGTTGGGATGAAGAAAGATCGCTTGATCAGTCCCAGACAAGCTGGAAACGAGGGGCTAGTGGCTCCTTTTATCACACCGAGTCGCAACGGGCACTTACAAGGCAGAGAGATGTCTTATTCGGAGGAATAATTGTAGAGAGGGTGACGCCAGCAGGCATTGCGCCTCCACCAGCAGCGGGCTGGCCATGATCAAGCTTGCGTGGTGGTGGTGGTTTGGCTTCTGAATGCGACGTTGGCGCACCCAGAGTCGGGGGTCCATCGCAACGTTCCTCCGATCGATCCACTGTGGCTTTTTATGAGCGGTTTGATTGGACACCGAATCGATCCGAACCCGTCTTGGCAAGCCACTTCGCCAAGATCTGTCAGGATCCCGGACTGGATGACGAACATGCAGGCGCCACTTTCTGACTTTCCATCAAGTCGGACCTTTCGGCGACTTCCTCGAATTCGGCGGTTAGGTAACCACGCAGAAGAGCACCAGGTCACGCGTACAGCAACGCGTTGCATTAACATCTTGTAATGCCACATCTGACATCTGTATCAACAGCACCACATCACCATGTTGTCCATCTAAGGCACATAATTAAGGTACATACATTTCAAGGCCCACAGCTCGCCTTTCGCGCTACAACTCGGCTGTGCCCCGCCCTTCCCCAGTGCGGAATGCGGGGTGACACCCCACCCGCATGTTGAGAGCCGCTCACTGCCGTCCAAGAGTCGATATCAGATTTTATATACTGCTAATTCACTGCCATCATTCTTGCTTGTTATTGTCATTTACTCGGAAACCATGGCTTCCCCAACAAGCGCCACCGCTTGGGGCTCTCCGGTCGCCGAGCTCGCCAAACAAGTAACCCCTTTCACTGTCAATATCTCTGGTGAACATCTTGATCACACTCAGACCCTCCTCAAGCTCTCACCCATTCCAGGAGAATGCTATGAAAACTCCCTTCCCGATGGCAGTAGAAAGTTGGGACTCAGAAGAGAATGGCTTGTGGAAGCCAAACGGGTCTGGGAGGAAGAATTCAACTGGTACCTGCCATGTTCTCGCTCTCTTCTCATCAAAGAACTCTCGTGTTGACATTATCAAGGAGATCGGTTGAGTCTCAGATCAACAGCTTCCCGAATTTCACTGCCCCGGTACCTGTCAACGAAAAGGATGAACAAATCAACGTTCAATTTCTCGGAATCTTTAGCCAGAACCCCGACGCTGTGCCGGTTGTCTTTCTGCATGGATGGCCTGGGTCCATCTTGGAGTTTCTCCCCCTCTTCACCCTGTTGAGAGACAGATACCCCGACTCATCTCAGCTGCCCTTTCATCTGATCGCCCCTTCCCTGCCTGGCTTTGGCTTTTCCGACCAATTTCCCAGCGACAGAAACTACGGCATGGAGGACGTTGCCTTCGTCGTCGACTCGCTCATGGTCAGAACACTTGGGCTAAAAAACTACGTGGTTCAAGGAGGCGATATTGGCTCACGCATCGCACGCGTTCTGGGTAACCGATATGAGCACTGCAGTGCCGTGCTGGTCAACTACAGCCCAGTCCCGCCGCCAGAGGGCTTCGACGTCACGACACTGAGCGCAAAGGACAAGAAAGGGCTGGAGAGGGGCGATTGGTTTCGCAATGACGGATCCGCCTACGCGATGATGGCCGCCTCTAGGCCAGGGACACTCGGACTGGCGCTGTCCACCAATCCGCTTGCCCTGCTGGCCTGGATAGGAGAGAAGTATCTCGACTGGACGGACCCCCTTGCTTTTGCCCAAGACCAGACACTGCCCAGTGGAGCCCGATACTCCAGAAAGTTAATGGACGAGATCATCGCCAGCGTGGCTCTGTACTGGCACACGGGAAAGATTCACACCAGCTTTTATTCCTACCGGGAGGCGTTTGCTCTCAACGGGCGAGCCCCTCCCTCGAGCAATGCGCAGTTCCCAGTGATGGCGCCGAAGAAGGTGGGCATGATGTGGTTCCCGTACGAAGTCATCCCGACGCCGAGGGCATGGATAGAAAAGTTTTCAAACTTGGTCTTTTGGAGGGAGGAAGAAGTAGGAGGGCATTTCGCACAGCTGGAGCAGCCTGAAGTCATTGCCAGAGGACTGGAGGATTTTATCAAGATTCTGCAGGAGAAATGAGGATTGGGCAAGGAGTTTCTCATGGTCTTCTTCCTCTTATATGTACATCATGTTGTGGATGTTGTTTCGATACTAGGAATTATCCTCCACCACACTGTTCAGATCTGAATGGTAACGGCAAAAACGCCCTGTCCACCGCCTACGTACGCCACGTTCCTGTCCCTGTCTGTCCGGCCAAAGGCGCAGCTTGTGCTTCCCGTCACTGTGCCCACGCTCACGGGGCTAGGTCTTGCTGCGGCCGGGTCAACCTCCACGAGGGAGTTCCTGCTGTTGGTGGTGACGTAGATCTTGCCGTTGGGGCCGAAGCATAGGTCATCGCCCATGAGGTTGGTCCAGAGGGTGGTCTGGGCGCCGGTGCTCTTGGCCGTGACGGGGTCGAGGGGGATCTTGTGGAATGAGTTGCGGAAGATGTTGGTGTACCACAGCGTCCCGTTGGCGTACCGGATGCCGTCGATGCCGAAGGGGATGCCGCCCGAGGGAGCCATGGTAGGGTCGCGGGCCACCTCTGAGTAGACGCCGGTGTTGACGTCGATTTTGAAAACGTTGCCCCGGCCGGCATCGGCCACCAAGACGGTGGAGTTGTCAAAGTAGGCGAGGCCGTTAAGGTTCTGGGCCTCGGTGATGGTCTTGATGAGGGTTGAGCGGGGAGTTCCGGAGCTGAAGTCGACCTTGTAGATGGATTTCCCGCCACCGATGACGGCAAACTGGTCGGGTTGGTACTCGGCGATTCCTGAGAGGCCGTTGGTACCGGAGACGGACAGAGCAGTGGAAGAGGTCTTGGCGACGGGATCAACGGAATAGAGAGTTGCGCTATTCATGTTGGTGGCCAGGATGAGGCCGTTGGAGCGGACAGCAACATTTTCAATGGAACTGATGCGGACAACTTGCTGAGCGGCCTGTCGGGGGGCAACCGGGGTTGCTGAGCCCAAGCTAGCGCTGGCGAGGAGAGACACGAGAGTTACTTGGGACAACATTGTGATAGGTCTGTGGCCGGGGGCGAATCAAAACGCTGAGCTGACTTGACAAGACTACATCAACGCGAAGTAAAGCACGGCGGTGTCGACCGTTCAAGTACTAACTGTTCAAGTTTCGTGGCCTGCCCAAGTCAACCCCTCAGATCATCAACCAAAGCTGTCTTGTAAGTGAGGAGGAGGACCGGAAGGGCCCGGTATAAAGGGGCCTTGGCACTCTTTTCCAATTGCGGCTCGCGGCTTGTTGATCGACAATTATTCCTCGGCCGCAGCCTAAATGACGAACTCGATAGAGTCTGGGGTGCGTAATCTGGCTAATCGCGACACAACCAATTATCACTACCAGCGGCTGACATGCTCCATCCGAGGCTTGTATGTGCTTGCTTCTCCTCGTTTGTTGCTTGTTTATATGCGGTGTCTAATTATGTGGCCCGATCAGGGGCACATTTTCCATCAGTGGTGAAAGAAGCTTTCCTCTAGAGCCCCAAGACGTCTGATTCGCCACTGACTCTAGGTATGCCACGTGAGTTTTAGAGACAATGCTCGGAGGACGGCTCTCTTAACGTTGCAAGTAGACAAACGCCGAGTTGCCCCTGAACGGATGACACTAGCTGTGTCAAAAGTGCCAGGTGCTAATTTGCCAGCTACAAGGCTGCGAAAGAAAAAGAAAACAGGGGGATCATCTTGGCAAATGGAAGAACCAGGTCACTACGCTCATTCAGCTTTTTGTACTAAGTTTAAGGAAATAGAAGTGGATATAAAATAGAGCTCATAAAATAAGAGCAAAAGAATTAACCCAGGAATGTCTGGACGAGTTGGGAATCGAACCCAAGACCTTTCGCATGATATAATGCTTGTTGCAAAGCGAACGCGCTACCAATTGCGCCACACGCCCTATGGGAGGTAAGAATGGAAACCTGTTATGGAATTTTGGATGAGCTGGGAACCGAACCCAGCACTTTTTGGCATGTCCCAGAATTGAAGATGCTAAGCGAACGCTCTATCAACTGCTGTACCTTTGTTGGTGGTGGTGACATTTTGTTTGAAATCGACAAGGTAAACTGTCTTGGGGATGGCACGGTGGCTGCCGGCGAACCACTTGATTGAAACGCCTGGTGTATGGAACCAAGTTCTGGATCGGCGACAAAGCCATGCCGTGTTATGGAGTCAGCCTTCCAGGTTGCTGTAAACAGACTCACATGAGCTTCCACTACAGGTGCATGGTTTAAAAGGATCTGATTTTTGTTTCAATCTGCATGAGGTGACTGCCCCGTTGAATTCAACTCTGCCGCAAAGTGGGATCTCAAACCGCTGGAGGCGTTCAGTCACCGTCGAGGCCGGAGCCCGTTCGGAGCAGGCGTAAGATCGGTACAACTCGGGGATACGGCAGACGTCTATGTTATAAAGTGGTAAAGCAGATGCAGAATTGCTTGTAGCCCTATGTGACATAAAACAAAGGTTGTTTGGACTTCATTTGGTTGCCTAAAGCTTGTTTTTCTTTCTGCGAATCGGCATAGGTCTGTCACGCCCCCTATGTGTAACAAGTCGGCGCTGCGTGGTACATGGTATCTTCCATCTGAACTTGAAAAAGTCAGCCCCCACGGGGAAGGGGCAGTGACGTATTCAGGTTTAGGAATATTGCACAATGCTGATGGATTCTAGCGAGAATCCATCCGGAGCTCCCACCCTACCAATATGGTGACACTGGAAAACAACTCCAGGTGACCGGTAATGCTTGCGACAGGTTGATCTTGCAGTGCTCAGTCCCTGTGCGGAGCACGCGCCCTATCTGAGGCAAGGTGGACGAAGAGGCCGGAGCCGAGGGCTCGGTAACCCGTTGCCGTACGACAGCAAATAAGAACATCAACTTTAAGATGAAATAAAATCTCTTGTTTCCATCTATCTCGTCTCCTGCTAGGGACTCGGAGTGGCGCTAGAGCATGGTTGCAATGTTTGCATGGAGTGGCCAGGGAGGCTGGGGATCACGTACCACTCGAGCGGCCACCGGTAAACCAAGAGTCGACAATAGTTTAGGAGGTGGCCGAGATTACAAGGCCAAAAATGTGACTATACTGGAAATGTGGAGTTATTGGCGGCAAAGGTGGCCAAGTGGATGGCCAATGTCGAAGCGCTGCGGAATTCCCGGGAGGGTGCTAAGATTTAGCATGCAGGCAAGTATCGTGCCGCATGGCTGCTGGTTACTCATGCCATGCCGCCAAAAGACTGTATCAGCCTTGCATTGTCCATCTGAAACAGGTACAGCCTTTTTTCCCCAGGTTCTTGAAGACAGATGGTGATACGAATGGAACACACCTGCATTCGGCCGAAACATCGAAAATTGGCTTTCGATGGAGTTGGAATGTTGGATTATCACAATCGTGCTTGGTGTTGACTTTTTGTTGACAGTCTTGTTGGTAATCTTGATTCAGTTGGCAACTCCTATGCATACCTAGGTATGTAGTCAGAATTGGGGGCCACGGGATACAGCTTTCTGTTTGTTGACGTCATGTGGAGATTTTGTGATCGGATGCTCGCATTGGACTGAGACTTGTTCCTAAACACCGTCCGGTGCGATCTGTTTTGATTTCACTGTTTGCGAGCTGCGTCGCCATAGGCAAAGACCCGGTATTGTGCTGAGAAGCTCCAGGCTATAGCTAGCTCGACGCCGGTGGTCGAAATGTTTCGCAGGAAACCCATGGTCAGCTGCTATCTGCTCCTCTGCTGCCCGGTTCCTTCCGTCATGCTCTGCGGCATGGTGGTGATGCAATTAGACCTAAGACTGCAGTACAGTCAAGGCGTGTGGCTGATGGCAAGTTTGACCCCGCCGGCAATCGGCTGAGATAATGCGGACTTCAGTCCGAAACACGGCGGGAACACAGCATCGAAGGATCGAAGCATCAAAGCCAAACCCACCTCGCCGCAGCTTTACCGCCTCGTAATACCGTGAACTGTTCCGTTCGGTTGGAAAATGGTGCCCATTGACGTGTCGGGGAAGCTGGCAGAGGGCACAGCAGCATTCCCAGCATGTTGGATCAGGGGTCGATTGGCTGCCTTACCAATTTCGGAGGGGCATCGCCAGCATCAATCACGACTAACATAACAATCACTGAACCAACACGGGCGCTATGCACAGGATGCTCGCTGATGTGTCTTCCTACCTGTGGACGCTTGCCATCTCGAATTCTGCGCGTATCTTGACGAACACATGGAAGTGAAGCCAGCCCACGGCCAGCAAGACTGAAGCGATCTGAACCAATCAGCAATCAGGACCGGAGATAGCTTCTCACCTGCGGGACGGGTCCGAAAAATTAAGACCGGGCCGAACGATCGGGCCCGGATCCGGTGGCACGTGTAAAAAGAGGTTCCCCCCGTTTTCTCCCAACATCCATCGTACCACCAACAAATCACCTCCTAGGGGGCCAAAATGTTGGATAGGATGCTCCCTGCCAGGAAAATGACGTGGTTCAACACGCAATCAATGTCCAGTCACCACCAAGTTGTTGGATGTCAACAGCTTGGCATGAAGTCCTGAGTGTGGTTCGATGCAGCCGTGTTTTAACACCCGTCCGTGATGCCCCCCGCTGCTCCCGAGTGGCGCTCTTGACGCCGCGATTGCTAAGAAAAACCACATAGGGCGCTCCGAGATTCTCGTCCGAGTCGATCGGCTTTCCCGGGCGAGAGAAGCCAGTGATCAGTTTCGGATCTAAGGAGACATCGTCTGTGCAACACAGGTGTATGGCGTCTGTTCAAGCAGCCATTTCCTGGTTGCATGAATGGGCGAAGACACGGAAGTTCATTCAATAGTGTTATGGTGATAATGCTGATATTCGTCATCTACCTAACTGAATTGTGTACCTCTATCCCTAAAATAATCTGCAAAGAAAATAAACAACGTTTTTAACGAAAGTAAAGAAGTGCCGATATGGCATGACATGATGTCGTTTGATAGGTACAGGTATCTCTTGCGTGAATCCTTGTACCAAACAATGTCTAATGTTTCTCTAAATGCCCCTTTATTGTGTTTAGATGCCGATTGTGATAAGTTCGATGCTCCGGAACCCAGACCGTCCCGCCATGCAAATGCTAATCATGTTGTACAGGTACATCGTGCCCTGGCATACAATTAGTTGACCTGATCCGCATGGTCAAGAAACACCATTGGGTGACAAACATACCATAGTCATACACTTCTGCGCTGTGCGCAAGTACTCCTCGCCGTATCGTGTCTTAGAAGTTGACGAACTCGTACAACCTTCTGCAATCCTCGCAGTCCTCGTAGCTGATGACCTTGAAAACCTTGTCGTGACGGCTGTCGAAGCGGCATTCGCCGTAGATGTAACGCGTGTAGACGGTGCAGGAGTAGGCTTGCCTCCGGACTTTACTCCTATGCTGGCAAGCATAGACAGTCTGTTCCCAATTGCACATGGTTGTTGCTTTTGTAATCGACTGCTCGTCTCGTGGAATCGATATGACGGAAAATGACAAGCGTGTGCTGCCTCAGGTGGTCTTATAAGTCGGCGAGGATGATGGGTTTGATGATATCGGTTGTTCGAGGGGCCAGCCAAAGGCGAGTGTGTGTGTCTCGACGACTCAAGTGAGGTAATGAGGAAGGGAACATGAGAACACTGATGTGGATGTGCAGTATATATATTCGCAGAGGAAGATGGTGTCTTGTGCTTTCCCTTAGTCGCCAGTACGGGGTTAACGGTGTAGTGGTCAAGTGTAGATTCCGTGCAGAGCGGCATCTGGAAAGGCCACAAAAAGAAGACCTGGTACAAACCGTCCAGTCTAAGGTAGGTATAGGGTGCTCAGTGTCTAGACAACCTGGAACCCATGCCGACTCACACAATTATCCAGCCGTGCCTCTCTACAAGCCTGCAAGAATCATGGGAGAGAACGCCTTGGAACCGAAACGAGACTAGGGAGTACTACATGAAGTTGTGGTCGAGCTGGGCCGCTGGTGGCAGTGGCACTTAGCTAGCACCTCAGGAAGTACGGCTCTGGAATTGGCGGCGCAGTGTCTGAGTTGGGATTGTGGCTTCGCCTCCCTATTGTTGGTTTGCGGGGACCTCTGATTGGTGGATTTGGCGTAGATGGTTGGTGAATGCCCATTTAAGCGCGACCCAATCAGGGGGCCGTGTTTTGCACCGCACTGGCAGTCACCCACTCAACATCAGAACACCTCGAATCGAGCGTTTCTTAAGATAAAAGTCCTCAAAGGAAGAGACAAACATAAGGTAAGCCCGGCATGGCCTGAGGCAAGCCACCCCCTACGAGCGAGGCAGAGAGATGAAGCTGTCCTCAAAACCTCACATGTGCTTCACCTCAGAAACCATTTTGTCGTCCGCCCCCGATGCAAGCCCGTCGGCCGCCCATGACTCTAATATCGTCCACCCGAGTATACACTTATTGAATGACCAGTTTTCCAGAATGGACGGTGTTAAACCCGTGGAGCCATAAGATGCACACCCGATGTCTGAAAAATGCCTAACAGATGAGTAACCTGCTATACGAGCTCCCATTGATCCCCCGCAATGATATGTCCATGCACTGAGTTTATTTTCTAATATCGCATCGCTGCTGGAGTTCTTTTGCTCACCGGATGTCTGTTTGTATGGCGTAAGTACCTTACCTATTCTAGTAAGCTTGGCATTACCTCCTGACTTCCCGAGAACACAGTGTCTTATCTGGACGATCCCCCTGATGTTCAGGTCAAAGGCAACTGAATGTATAGAAATCCCTCGGTTAAGAGGGCACTTGTGGTGGCCGACATGGAGACTGGAGATTTACACGAGGCCACCACTTCAGCCCTATGATCTGCAGTGATCATCTGTGCCCCCAGATTGGTCAACATGCGTGCCATTGCGTACCATGAGGCTGGGACAAAGCACATCC